GGGAGAGGCCACAGAGCGTGTGTCTGGCTCTCAGGCTCCGCACCACCGCATGTGTGCTCCCTAGAACACCGCCACCATGCTGTGAGCACACCCAGGCCACAAGTGTTCAAGTGTTGGTCATCAAATGGCAGGCGTGGGGCAAAACTTCCAACACTTTTAGGCCCAGCCTTCAGGCAGCCCTTCCTGACACCAAATCCAGCTAAGACAAGCAATGCTCAAGTTACAGTTTTGTGCGGGAAATCAAAGTCATTGTTTAAGTCACTGAGTTCTGAGACAATTTTTTAGGTGCACCTAATAATAATCTCGCAGTTCATGGGGCTGAGCCCTAACACCGGGCTCTGTGCTGACGGTGCACAGCCTGCTTGGGATTCTCTCTCTGCCCCACCTTCCTCCCACATGCGCACACCCCCGTTCTCTCTCTCAAAATAAATAAATAAACTTAGAAAAAAAAGAGCCTATTAGATAGAGATAAAGACTAATTTGGTAAACTGGAAGACAGACCAAAAAACATATATATATCCAAAACAGAAAAGAAACAAAAGAATGGAAAATACAGAAGACAAGTGAAATGCACAGAGGCTTTCGTGAGCTCTAACACCCTGGAACTGAAGTCCCAGTAAGAAAATACAGTAAGTCTAACTGAGTAACAGCATAAAATAATAGAAATATATCTTTATATTTAAAGTGTAAAATACATATGCCTTTTAAGACATTAGGAGTTTAAAATATAAATGCGTTTTAAGACATTAAATGGGTTTAAAAAAGAAGAAAGAAAGAAAATCCACTTAAATATTTTTAAAGTCCTTTCACATTCTCTGGAGAGTAGAAGTCTCAATTAATATTACTCTTTAGTACGTTGAGAAAACATATTAGAATTTTGTAGGCAAACACTAAAGGAACAGCAAAAGAATACATGATCCCACGCTAATAAAAAAGAAGTAAATGGAAGAATTTTTTTTAAAGAGAATCCAAAAAAAAATCTAGAATGAGAAAAAAATATGGAAAATAAGGAAGACAAATAGTTTTTAATTTTTAAACACTTATGTCAATATAAAGTTATTAGATGCCAATTCATTTTTATAATAGTCATCAGCAAAATACACAAAAACATCTGGCACACACACCTAACTTTTATAAAATTTTAACCAATCCTTTACATTGTGACTGACTTTTCAGAATCTTACTTCACTTTCTTTTCTTACCACAGATATGCTAACAAGCATGAAAATGTCCGAAAACCAAATAAAAAGAAAAGGGTATACAAAAAAAAGCCCACAAAGCCAACTGGCTTATAAACACTGCATTAGCTCCATAACAAAATATTAATTTGCCATCACTGATCTATGTAAAGTTATTGAAATTAACATATAAGAAACTCAAAAACAATATTAGGTTATTTCATGAAAAACATTACTCTAATATTTTTAATTCACTTGTTAACTTAGTGAAAGGAAAATGGCAGCATAAAATGATAACTTTTTCTCACATCAATATCAGCAAGACACAGGTGCAACATGTACCTCTATCAGAGAATAACCATATATCTATTTAGAGCCAAAAACACTTAAGCAAACGAGATATGAAACTCCAGAGTCAACTCTTGACCTTCCTATAGGCAAATGAAACTACCTGCCCTTTAATAAATTTTTTTTTTACTTTAGGGTAGACTGTTACTACCATTTTGTGAGAAGTAGGTAATTTAAGCTCTTCCACAGAAAACAATGCTACCAAAATTAAATCAAAATACCACATTCATATCATATAGTATCTCTGTAAAGAAATCAAAGAATCGTTTTCTTTACTTCCAGTCTTTCAGATATAAAAGCTAAGGAGGGAGCGGTGCCAGGATTAGAAAACTAGACATCAAAGCGTCCAGAGAGGCACTTCCAGGTCTACCGCGGTTACAGTCACCCAGACTGACCCCCTTTCCGCAAGGGCTAAGGGGCAGGACGAAGGTTCCCCGAGCCTTCCCCACACTGGGACAGTGGCCGCCCCCCAGCCCCGGGGAACTAAGTACGGAGGCGCAGGCGTTCTTATCGAACCCTCCCAAGTCTCTTCAGGGCCCACTCACCTCCCCTCTTCACCCACTATCTCCTGTTCCTTCGGGCCTGACAAGGCGCTTGCCCCACCACCCCCAGGTCAGGTCGGGTTCCCTACACACGGCTTTTATGGCTCCCGGGACTTCACTTCAGAGGACCTGTGTCCCTGCTGCTGACAAGGTACCTAGCACGAGGCACACAGAAGGCACTGGAGAAATACTTGCTGAACAAACAAATCTGAATTTATGATTCCCCCCAATTTTACAGAGAAACAAACCTTTAAAAATCAAGTTATTTACATGAAATGATACAGCCTGGAAATGGCACAGACCAGTGGAGAATCCGAGTGTTTGCAATCCAAATTCCCACGCTGTGACCCCCCACGGACTATAACGAAATGTGCTAGAAGACAGATTTCTTTCAAATTAGCATTACTTTTGTATTGACTTCCACTGTAAAACGTGAGATACTTTTAGTGGGGGGGGAGGGGGAGAGACTCTAAAGACAAGTGACCCCACCTAAGTGCCAATAGGCCTCTCAAAACTCACCCAGAAGGGACAAACTGTAACTTTCTGGGAATTAATGGTCAGAATATTGTTGATAAGGATACCATTGCACTAAAGCAAAACAGGCACCATTAAAGTGAAATTGCAAACATACACCGGAATGTAACCACTTGTCTCCTTCCCTCCGACTAAGTCTCCAGCCTGCTTCAAACTGCCTTAATTAGCATGCCCAGTGCGTGTTAACCATCCTAACCATGTTTTCAATTTGCCACTAACTTCAATTTACCGGCCTCTTTCTCAATCACGTTCGCTGGCTGCAGGAACTCGAGACAGATGTGCACATGGCGGCCACGGCTGACCAGTCCAACCTCTGCCTGGCACTGGAGGCCAGGTTGGATCCGCAGTGCCAGGAAGTCGTCTTGGTTCCCAGTAACGCCCAGGACGGCCAGTCCATTAACAGATGGCGGCAGAGCTGACACTTCCAGTTACTGCCTTGTATAACCAGGGGCAGTTGTCCTCACCGGGAGAGATTTCATGTCAAAGCACTGTTACAATTGGTAATGGGCTGTCCTCACCAGACACAAGTAGACCAGGGAGCCGGAGAGGCTCGCTCAAAACAGTCAGTAGGCACAAACACCAAGACTCGGGCCCAAATTCTTAATGTTTGGCAAACGATGCTTCCTCAAATGCCTGTGAGACAACTCACTAATTCTTTCAACAATCATCAAAGGGAATTTGTGAACTCAGGATACCTGTTTTCCTTTAAAAATTAATGCGGGGCGCCTGGGTGGCTCAGTCGGTTAAGCGTCCGACTTCCGCTCAGGTCATGATCTCACCGTTTGTGGGGAGCCCACGTGGGGTCTGTGCTGACAGCTCGGAGCCTGGAGCCTGCTTTGGATTCTGTGTCTCCCTCTCTCTCTGCCCCTCCCCTGCTCGTGCTCTGTCTCCCTCTCTCTCACAAACAAACATTAAAAAAAAAGTTTTTAATAAATAAAATTAATGTATACTTTTATTAGCATAATTTTTTATATCATATTTTGACATATGTACGTTTGACATCTTTCAATTGCCTGTGTAAACTACAGCACAGGATCAACAGCCACTCAAAGCAAAAACCTAAACTAGGTTTACAAACTTTATTAGCGGAAACAGCAAACTCATAAAGATTTTTAATTTTAGGGTCTGAAAGTGTGAGAAATAGTGGTAAATAAACCACTGTTCACGTGATGCTGGCTAACTTAATTCTTACTAAAATGACTTTACAAAAGGGAAAAAGTAGCCGGACTTCCCTCCATGAGAACTTCCCAGGGATTCAACGCATGAGGGAGTTGGCCACGGTGATCTCTAAAGTTCTGTCCAACTTTGCTGAGCTACAAAATAGTCAGTAAGGATCCCAGAGACTCGATTCCAGCTATAAATGGATTAGTGCAGGATTAAAACCACTTCCTTCCAGTAAGGAAAATATTTAAGATCGTGTCCCCGCTTTCTTTCCTCCCATTTGTGTCACATTATTTCCCAGGACTGGATAGTGTCCCCATTCAAACACCCTTCCCAGTCCCATGAGGTGAGGGACCCACTTAGCTCCTCTTCAAGTCTCCTGACGGAAAAGCAACTGTGGATTAAAATGCGGGGAGGGGAGGGGGCGGGGTGGGTTTAATTCTCAATTTAAAGAAATCTCTTCCAATTTACAGAAACGTGGCTTCGCAGACTCCTCGAATCTTCCCTGGCATTAAAATACCTGCGGGCAACCATTCTCACGCGTCGGACACGCCGCACCGTCGCTCGGCTCTGAGCGCAAACTACTTTGCAAACTTTGCACAGACGCACAGATTTCCAGGCTCCCCGGAGCCCGCATTCACCCCATCTTCCTCGTGCCGAGTCGAAACAAAGTTCCGCGGCACGAAGGCAGTAATTAAAAAAAAAAAAACAAAAAAAAAAACAACCGAAGTTTGCCTCAGTCCTGCCCACTTGGACTCCGCAGGACGCAAGTGAAACTTGCAAGAGAGACAGAGACACGTCTCCCGGGGACCGAAGCCCGCTCCGGGGGGAGGGGGGCGGCGCGGCTGCCCTCCCCCAGGATCTGGCGGACCTGGGTCCTTTCCACCCGGCCGCTCCACCGGCCCTCAGGTCCCCCGCGCACGCCGTCCGCCGCAGACCCTCCCCGCACGCCCCCTGCATCCCAGCGCCCCCAACCCGGCGCCCGCCAACCTGCCAATCAGTCCCGCGGAGCCCCACGACCGAGGTTCCGGGGGGCACTCGGACGGCCCCGCGCAGGTTTCCCGAGCCCGACCCTCGAGGGCTGAGGCGGGGAGCCGCAGCTCCGGCCACCTCCCCGGGGCCGGGAATGGCGGCGTCCGGCTCCCCCGGGCCACCCGGACTCCCTGCCCGGAGGAAACCCCGGAGACCGCCGCCGCCGGCCGACCGCCTGCGGTGGGAGATGAAGAAATGAAGTTACCTCCGGACGGTCCCGTCGGCGGAGGCTGCGGCAGGGCGCAGAGCGGGGAGTCGGGGCAGCCGAGCAGGTCCCGGCGCGGCGGCGGCGGCTACCGCAGTGCCCTCCGCCCCATTGTTTCCCTTCCAAGAGGATCCCGGCGAAGCCGAGCCCGGGAACCAGGAAGTTCCCCCGGCGCGACACCTCCTGCCGCCGCTATGGAAACGGCCCCCGCCTCCCAGGGCGGCTCGCCCGGGACCCCGCCTCCGCGCCGCTGGCCCCGCCCGCCTCACGGGCTGCCGCCAACCGTCGCCGCTGCGGCCGCGGCCGCCGCCATCTTGGCGCGGCCGGGCGGCCCTTTCCCGGCGGCACGTGCGCGCCGCTCCCGCGTTCCCGCCGGCCGCGGGGGCGCGCTTGCAGGGCTGTGGGGGGCGGGCGCAGCTCCCCGGGATCCTGGGCAAGACGCGGCGCCTCTGGCCCCCTTCCCCCCGCTCCCCGGCCGCCGAGCGACCGAGGACCCGCGCCGCACTGCAGACCCCGGACCCCGAGCGAGGCTTCGAGGCGCGGCGCGGAAACGACCCACTTAAGCTGTTCCATTGAAAAGGTCAAGGGACGGGCGAGACCCGGGCCGGAGTCGGTAGAGTAGTGGCCCAGAGCGTGGTCTCTGCAGCCGCGTCGCCGCGCGTTCCCTTTCGGGCCCATCTTCCTAGCTGTCAGAGCTAGGAAGCTCGAAATGTCTCCGTGCCTCAGTTTCTTCGTCTGTAAAGTGACATGTACGTACCTGTCTCGTAAGGCTGTCATTTGGAAACACCAAGTGCCTGGTAGTAGTGCCACATGATCGTTCAGTAAACTGGTATTGCTTCTGACCAAAAAAACCACATTTCTGTCATTTTCCGGGAACTTGGGTGTTCCAATCAGCACTACTTTAAATAGGCTGCTGTCTCAGATCCCACTGCTGCTTAAAACTTCCCAAATGTTCATCTTTCGTCCCATCTTTCTCTAGGTCAGCTTTCCTTTTTTACATCACGGAAACTGTCAGGAGTTTCAATCTCCAGAGTCTTCCATTAAGAGGTGCCGTAAAAAGGTGAATGATGTAAACTTTCCAACACTGTAATTAGCTGACAGTTAAATGATTTATTCAATAGAAGCTAGAAAAGTTAGGGTGTGCAAATAACAAAGGCTTCCTGTCCTTGATTCCAGGAACTAGAATTACTAAAGCTGGCAGCTCTGCCCCATTGTTATCTCTTTTCCAGCTGGTGAAAACAGACACCTAAAAACTGGGTGCTGTGTGCATTAGGGATGGAAAGAGGAGGTGGGTCACAGACTCCGCTGAAGGATGCAGACTTTAATAACTGCATAAGACGGGGTCTTAGATGATCTCCACGGTTCCTTGTAGCTTATAAGTATTGTGATTTTATCCGTACGCTCTTTAAATTTATACTTCCTTTGGCTATTCATTTAAACCAAATTTGCAGAAACTAGTGTTTAATAAGCCTGATCCGAAACTGAAATAGTCTGATACATGAATTTCGGTAAAAACAGGTCAGGTGTTGGCAGGAAAGTTTTTCAGCACCCAAACACTTCTCCAAAAGTTCTGGAGGGACGCCTGGGTGGCTCAGTCGGTTGAGCATCCGACTTCGGCTCAGGTCACCATCTCACGGTTAGTGGGTTCGAGCCCCTCACTGGGCTCTGTGAGGACAGCTAGCTGAGAGCTTGAAGCCTGTTTCAGATTCTGTGTCTCCCTCTCTGACTCTCCCCTGCTCATGCTGTCTCTCTCTTAGAAATAAATTTTTAAAAACATTTTAAAAAAATTTTTTAAAGAGTTATTTAAAAACATTAAAAAAAGTTTTTTTTTAAGTTCTGGAATGCTCTGATTAGCGATAACCCAAACTTAGATGCCTGAATTTCTGAAAGGCAGGAGCTCCCCCCCCCCCATCATATAGCTCTGTCGCCCCTATTGGACTGCAGTTTGCTTTGCACATGGTAGGCACTGAATAAATGTCTACTGAATCAAATTGCCATGTTTGTGGCTGAGCTCTCTTCATTTAAGGAGACCTTGGGAAGCACAGAGATACACAAGAGATGTTACTCAAGGGACATCACTGCAAACACCATCAACAGGAACCCCAAGTCACTAGTAAATGGGATTTGGGAATGGACAACCCTGGCCCCAGGCTTTTTTGGCAAAACAAAGTGGACATTTCAGATATGTTTTTCCACAACTTATATGGGTAATTTTTTTAAACTTTATTTTGGACTTCATTATGAGCACCACTGATTCAATTTTATGCTTCAATAATAGCACTCTGACTCAATAGTACAGTTAAAGTTCAGAAATCCCCACATTTTTCCCCAAGTCAGAGGATCACCAGTGAGTTTCTGGCACTTCAATATAAAACCAGGATTTGTTCTTAGGTATAACTTCAGGGACTTGCCATAGTTTTTTGTATATTTAAGCATCTCAGAAGTACTGTTAAACTACAAACACAGATTTTTGTCTTTATATCCCCAGTGTGAGGGCTTCACACTGGGGTAGGCATGCAGATTCACTCATCTGTGGCATATGATAAACAGAATTTACATCAGTGATTGTCAAGGAAATAAAGATAGAATCATTTTTCCTCTAAACCAGGGATGGGCAAACTTTTGCTTACAGAGGAAATATGGTAAACATGAAGGCAACAGTAGACAATATACAATAGAGCATGCCTGTGTTCCACTAAAAACTCACGGAAATAAGTGGATTTGACCCACAAGGGCATCTTTTGCTGACCCCTCAATAATTCTATTAGATTCACTCCATTTTTTGTATCCACTCCAGTGTGAAATGCCAGATATTAAAATACAAAGAGTAAAAGCTTGATAGAAAGCACCAAAAAGTCAAAAAATGTACAGAGCCAGTTCATGTCACCAGTTAAAATATTTCACAGATATCAAGGGTTCAGAACTACATCTCATGTAATAAAATGGTATAAGATATTTGCCTTCTGTTTTTGCAAAAGCTAGGAGTTACAACAATAGAAATACTTAAAATGTTGACAGAGGTAAGAGGGCATGTTCAAGCCCACCACAGGATGCCATGGTAACAAAAGCCAGAAGTACAATTGGAGAGGAGAACATAACGCAGAAAAAAAAAAAAAATTCTCCAAAGTGAATCAGCCATCCTTCACTGCCATCCTCAGAGTGTGGATAACAGTGTAGGTCCTTTGAGTCTCCTGTAAATTGAGAATTCAAAACGTGAATCCGTAGCTATTTGATCCATTCAATTCTTTTTAATAGGGGTAAGCAGATAGCTCTCTAGGGAGGGACGAAGGGGATTATAATGCTGTGGACATTCTCATCCTCACCAGCGGCAATACTTTCTGAAATTTCATAAGGAAGCAATGCTCTTCCATTGGTTAGGAAAGTCACCTCCAATGACGCTGCATAATAATTGTTCTTTATTGCCGGGAAAAAAAACCAGACCAGTCAATATCTGTGCACCCAGTGTAAGCACAAGAGTAATGAAGGGTCAACAACCACATCCGCACTGCTCATATGAAAAATTTTTCCTTTGGTTCAAAAGACAACTTACTGATGCAGAGCAAGGAAAAAGTTCATGGAAGAGCTGTGAACCCCATAAAACCATTGCAAGATGTTGTGTACACCACCTTGTTTGTTCCTTACAACCATCTGGGGTTGTCTTGTTCATTTATCAGTATACTTGGGAAGGGGTTCTATCTTAAGAATATAAATGCCATGAGACTGGAGAACTTATCTGTCTTCTTCCCTGTTCTGTCCCTTGGTCCAGATCAGTATCTGGTACAGAACCAGCTCTCTGTAAATAATTGTAGAAGAAATGAAGGAAGAGGAGGAGGGAAGGAGAGGGGAAAGAACAAAGGTATACAGATACTCATTTTCTTTGGGCAGAAGTTTTCTAACTTTCATCATCTGCTCAGAAGGGTCTGTGACACACACACGCACACACACACACAGGTAAGTAAGAATGACTGGTTTTCAACTACAAAGTCCACCTCTCGTTATCTCCTCTGCCCTTTTGTTCCCCAGCCGCTCTGCTCACATAACAAATGGTTATCATGCTTTGCCAGAAATCTACAATGATGCCATATCATTTGGAGAATGTCTCATTATATTTTTATAACTTTAGAGAATTGCTTCTGCCTGCTCAACTTTAAGTCACCATACTTAAAGTCTCCATTTGACCACCTCTCAGATACCATGCCCTTCGTTTTTTTAAATCTCATCAGAGTTGTGTTCAAAAGAACTGTAAGGTATTAAAATAAATGATTCCAAGGCATTTTTGTCCCCGATTTACGGTGATAAAACTCTTGCCTCTGTATGGTTTTCTAATTAACTTTTAAACCCTTGTGTACACAAATCTATGTAAGTTGTGTGGTAGCTCATTTTCAAAGATGGCCCCTCAGTGAACCATGACTCCAGTGTTCACATCTCTGTATACCATCCTCTTCTTGACTCTGGGTTGGCCAAAAGAATAGGGCAGAAGTGATGTTGAATATTTTCTAAGACCAGATGATTAGAAATCTTACAGCTTTTGCCTGGGTCTCTGAAATACTTATCCTTAGTATTTCATCCCCTCCCAGAAGTCAGCTCCCATGTTTTTTGAAATAATTTTTTAAATGTTTTTATTTGGGGGAGAGGGGGAGGGATGGGGAGAGACACAGAATCAGAAGCAGGCTCCAGGCTCTGAGCTATCAGCACAGAGCCTGACACGGGGCTCGAACTCACAAACTGCGAAATCATAACCTGAGCCGAAGATAGATGCTTAACCGACTGAGCCTCCCAGGCACCCCTTGGCTTACATGCTGAGGCCACAATAGGTGGGAACCTGTACAGAGCCCCCAGCCAATTGCCAGCTTCCACTGCTAGGCATGTGGGTGAGCTGTCCTGGGTATCCAGCACAGATGAGCCTTCAGATGCCTTGAGCCCCAATTCTGCAACCCCATGGAAAACCCGAAATAAGGACATCTCAGGTGACCCCAGTCAACCCATGAGACCATGAGAGCAAAAATTAATTGTCGTTTTAAGTCACTGAAACAGGCTGGCTTGTTTAAGTCACTGAAACAGGCTGGGTTGTTACCCACATACTGATAACTAGACTAAGTTGATTAAAAATAAAGTTGCTAAAGCTATATTTAGCTATAGTTAAGCTAAGACCTTAATAAATAACTTCATCAAAATTAC